TCCTTTTTTTTTGCTTGACAAACTGTAACAGCAACCAAACTTCAACTGCTGATTCATCCCCAACTAGAACGTTTAATTTGCAGTGGAAGAACTTTCCCAAAAAAGGAGAAAACAAACAGCTGATGAGCTGCAGAGCAACAAAACCAACTGCCTCTCCCACAAGGAAAAGCTTCCATTAGTTTTATATCAACGAGGCCTTAAGTTGCCCAGAGGCACCGCTTGGCAACCTTCTTCTAACGCAAGTTCCCTGGCGTTAGCTAGCTGTTTAGTTTGTGCCATGTGGAGAATGGCCAAGGCTAAAATCCCCTTTCTCCCGTTATTGACCTAAACTGGATTGTGCAAACATCATAGATGAGCCAAAGTGTTCAAGGACTGTTCATGCCTGTAACGTGGCCTTTTCTTTACATGCTAGATGCAGAGAGAAAATAACTCCTGCTATCTCTGCTGACACATTCACGTTAAGCAACAGCCCTTGTGAGAATTATCACCAGTTTAGTAAGTTCTCGTCAATACTTTCAAGGAAAATCAGTGCCTGGTTGGAACTTGCACAAACCTAAATATTGGTTACACATAAAAATGGAATAAAACTACTTTACTGCCAATGCTCTATTGAAGAAGACCACTACTCAAATAAAATATGCTGGTTTCCCCACAACATTACATAAACACGATATACTAGTAGACATGAAAGTCACTCTTTCATGCAATCTCAAGAATTAGTCAACAAGTTAACTAGTCCACTTGGGCTGCGTCCAAAGAGTTGAATATAACTCCCTTTTGTTGATTTTGCATGATCTGATAAACATGGGAATCCACACGTAAGGTCTGTCAATTAGTCATCTTTCTAAATGTAGCTGTCGATTAATTGCCATATAAACAATTTTGCTTAAAAATTTGTCTTTTTTGGTTCATTGTGTGTAACTGTTAAAGAGCAAACCTAAAACTTCCAAATTGGCTGATTAGCTATCTTGCTTACTAGCGCAGGGGTGGGGGAAGGCCAAATGTCACATCACCATATTTAAAGATTTTTTCAGAACACACTATACATATCACAATATTTTGACTCACAATCACAATGCATTAGCAGTAGAGCTAAACAGTTAATTGTTTTTATATCAAAACTGCAATTTAAAAAAGTGCAATTTTAATAATATTCTACTTTATTCAACAAATTTTAATTGGGAAAATTTAACCTAAGAACAGAGAGATTGTGAACAGTCAATAGGGTGTACTACATTCAGGCCTCAAACCCCCTAAAGAAATGGATGTGCTGGCCTTCCTGAGGAAAAAAAAGCCTGGAGCTAAATTAGTAGCAAAATAACTACAGTTAAATCGTAATATTGATTAGAAAAGTTGCAATTAGATGTCTTTCCCAAATCGTTCAGCCCTCTGTTCAGCAATCAACCATCTGTTCAGCAATCAAAAACCTGTTTTTTTACGTACTGATGATATCCACGATATCCTCAGAAAAGCATATTGTTTATCATGATAACAAAATTCATCACAATTACGATAAAATATCATGTTGCCCACCTCTATTCCTAGAAGCCTTGGGCTACATATGAGCCAAATAAAAAAAAGCAGATATAAAAGGTCTTATTCAACTATTCAAACAAACTATTCAAAACGTTCTTAGGTTAAATTTTCCCAATTAAAATTTGTTGAATAAAGTAGAATATTATTAAAATTGCACTTTTTTTTAAATTGCAGTTTTGATATAAAAACAATTAACTGTTTAGCTCTACTGCTAGTGCACTGTGAATGTGAGTCAGAATATTGTGATATGTATAGTGTGTTCTGAAAAAATCTTTAAATATGGTGATGTGACATTTGGCCTTCCCCCACCCCTGCGCTAGGAAGCAAGATAGCTAATCAGCCAATTTGGAAGTTCTAGGTTTGCTCTTTAACAGTTACACACAATGAACCAAAAAAGACAAATTTTTAAGCAAAAATGTTTATATGGCAATTCATGTGGAGCTGTGATAGATCATGATGCTCACAGCAGACAGAAAAAACAGTGTTGTTTATACAGCTCATTTTCACATTGCAGGCTTTTTTACGTTATCAGTATTGTAAAGGCCAATATCATGACAATACACAAATGATACATTGTGTCGCTCTAGTTGATGAAGGATAACCAGCAAGTAAATCTGAGGAATACATTAAACTTTAAAACACAAGAAAGCAGAAACACAAATGTTACAAAGATCTTGGCTAACACAAAGATCTTATTGCTAAGAAAGTGCCACAGATTGGGGCTTTAGTACCAAAAAAAATGAACGTGCCTGGAGTAGTGTGTAATGAAACACTCAGACGCTCACATAAATGTTTCTTTCTTCATTATGTGTGAGGAGTGGGTAAGTGGGTAGTGGAATGCTAGGAGACTGCAGGTATGAGCGCAAGGCCTGGCAGAGCTAACCACTGCATATTTCACATTGCACTGAGAAAATCCACCTCAGACTCACAGCTTCAAGACCTACTTAAGCCCAATCCTGCAAATTCTAAAAACCATCTTGAATAACCAGGGCTGCAAACGCTGCAGAGATGCATCTGGAATTTTTTTATCCGTTTCAAGTGCTTCTGTAAAAGAGGCCTGGTTTTACCACCATCTGAAGTGGACAGGTCTAATAAGCACCATTAGCTATTCTTTATTACATTAATAAGCAATTATTATCTTCAGTAAGCCTCTTAGTAAAGCAATTAGAGGTGGATGGATTCAGATTGGCACTGACAAAGCTATGTGAAGCAGAAATAAGAAAGATAAACTAAACATGCAAGAAATGTAAAAATATACACTATATGTTAAAAAGTATCCAGACACCTCTTCTAATTAGTGGATTCTGCTACTTTAAGGCACACTCACTGCTGACACAGGCATTCAATTGCACATACACAACTTGTACATTCTCCATATAACAGCCTGCCAACATAATGGGATGCTCTGGAGCAGCCACTCATGAGCATAAGGCCACCATGCCCAATACCAAGTGTCCACAAAAACAGTGCCTCTCAAACTGGTCCTCAGGAATCCTTAGACGGTTCACACTTTTGCTCTATCCTTCTGCATTGTGAGCAGAGTTGGAGCAAAAAAAATAGACTGTGTGGGGGTTCTTCAGCATTGGGCTGCGGAGCAGCAGAACTCTCTCTTCTCCTGAGCAATGTTCCAACAACTAGTGTAAAGCCTTCCCAGAACAGGAAAAACTATTACTGCAGCAAAGGGGGCACAAACTCCCTATTAATACCTTTGATTTTAGAAGAAAACATTCATTAGCAGATGGCTACAAACCTTTGGACATATTGCATATGTGCTTTTATTAAACTTGATGCTTAATGTGTTATCACCCAACTGATGAATGAAAGATATCCAAGTGTCTGTTTCCCAGGACAAGCAAATATTTATCTGATTTGCACAATGAGTCACTGATTTAGCATTTCAGTCATTCAAGTTTTCTGGCGCCAAGAAATGAGACAAGAATGGAAAGCTTTTTCATTTTAAGGAGCATTGTTAATGCTGGCTCGTGTGACAGATGCACAACCTACTGAGCTTTAGCAGGTTGAGCTAACTTTAAAAACCGTAATAACGGCAGATAGAAACCTCTAGTGAGCAGCTACACAGAACAAATTCCTTTCAGTTAGAGAGGACTCAAAAGGTCATAAAGCTGTCATAATAACATCAAAGCCTGTAATGTCTGGTGTCAGTGATATGCTGCCCATTACAAGTTTGGACACAGCCTGCCTTTATATTAAAACGTCATGTTTGAATTTCATTGTTCCTTTCTATTAGGTAATGCTTTCCAAGGTTTGTTAGCATAAAGCTGCTATTAGCTATTCATTTGGATATAATTTGCATCACTCAGCTTCTTATTTTCCTTGCTGTCAAGAGCAGCTTTTATCGACATAATGATTTATTAATTTTATTTTCCATACTATTGTTAAAAGTACACAAAATCAAAAATGAAATGGTAGTTTAAACAGCTGGAAGATTTGAGCCATCAAGACGAGGATAAAATGAGTGGTTTGTCATTTTTCTCAAGGTAGGACTTTTGTTAGTTGTTCCTTTAGTTTTGCTGTTATTATTCAGTGTAAATATTTTAGCTTTTATTTATTTATAATCCTTTATATTGTTAATTTTGTAAAGGAGAGCGTTTATATTTTATCTTAATATTTACTTTCAGTATTAGCAGAAAACATGGAACATGGTCTTGTAAAAATGAGTTATGACTGTTTTTGTTATATAAAACCATAAAAGTATCACAGCTGAAAAAAAAAATAAACTGAATAAAAATGTAGGATATGGGCCCTTAAAGAAAAATAGCAGGATCTAGAAGGTTTTTTTGAATATGTTAACCCCTGAATCTAAGGCTAAAACCTGCACTACCTAAGATCTGGAGATTTGGAGACCTCTCTGCTGGAAATGTGTAATTGTACACAACATGTGAAAGAATGTGGTTGTTGCCTGACACCCCTTCCCCGAGCAGATTAATCTAACGATTGTGAGAACTCTGTCAGAACTTGGTGAGGGACGTGTCTTCTGAGGATGTAAGTGAATGATCTACTATTGTCATATCTTCATCAGTATATTGCTGATTTTGCATTTGAGACCTAAACATCGAGCCAGACCTTCTTTTTGAGCCTATGTGTGTGAAGTTAATAAGTAAAGACGCAGGACGTGGTCAGAAAAACTCCTACAAAATACAACCCAACACCTCTGACTTTTAAATTATCATTTCAAGTTTTACAGGGTGACTCACAGCAGCGCACACATACCATGAATTAGCATGTTTTTCCTCCTGACTCAGAAAAAAAAAAAAACTCTGAACCTAATATGTAAGTTATGAAGAACTGACATGTGGGCCTACACCAGGCACTCAATATCTAAGGGGTACAATTACAGAAAATAAACAAAGACTGTGAAAGTCTTTTGACTTTTGACTGGTAGTGCATTCTTACCCAGTTCTGCAATACACACTGAACAACAAGGCACATTTAAATGGTATTACCTGTGGTGTTCCCATTAAGCTGCATAGTTTGGGCCATGGCTGCAATCGGTCACTCTCAACCCCACACAGGTGCTGAATGGGGTCATGCAAACATCATGCATCAAATCCAGCTTGTCATGCAACCTGTTAAACAGAGAAACACACACACAACACAATATAGTAAAAGATCATGCAACAGACACCTTAGTCGCAGCCTGCAAGCAAGGTCAAACCAAAGACTTACAGCGTTCACATACATTAAACCAGAGTTAGCACTTGGCATGCTTGAGTTCAGTGTTTGTAGTCAGTTTTCATATGATTTGTATGATTTCAAAACACTGCAGAGTTTACTTTTAACTACAGGAGACAACAATGACAAAGCTTGGATAACTAATCTGGGTCAAAATGCAACGTTGCCAAGGCATACGTGCAAGACTCTGTGTAGGCAGAAAAGCTGGTGGTCAGCTTTGTTCTTGAGGTTGTTTTCTTGATGCTCTATTTATGATTTTGCTACCCCAATCTTAGGACACAGCTACCACCAGTTACTACACTCTTAAAAATAAAGGTGCCAAAAGGGGTTCTTTGGAGTGATGCCGCAGAAGAACATTTTCGGTTCCCCAAAAAGCCATTTTTAAAGAACTATGTTTGTAAATATGATGTATGTGTGAAGAAGCATTTAACAAAAAAAAACAAAAAACAAAAAAACACAACATGTAAAGCTCCTATATTAGTGGTGTGATGATTTAATGTGATAAATTATTAACACAACTCATTTTTTAAATGCTTTTAAATCATTTCCTAGTTTGACCCTTCAAATCATCCGTAGTTCCACCCTGAACCCCAGCTGTTCGCATGTTGTTGCTACGACTCAGCAACTGTTGCCCTTTTGCTCAAATACAGCTTTTAAATGGCAAGTTCTTGGTCGAGGTTATTAACAGCTACTGCCAAGACATGAATTTGTTATCGAAGTTTTTTGAGTCTGAAGTATGATTTACAAGTAAAACACCCCACCAATGCCTGCAATATCAGTAATATGAGTAACGTTGGCACCAGAGGACGATTTTGTCAGGTTAGACTGGACAGTGTTCAAGGGAGAACTATGGATAAATCAGTACACAGCAAACTAACAAAAACAAAAGCAAACAAAATGTAACAAAGTGGTATGAGAGCGAGAGGGAACAGTAGTGGAAGAGTTTGAACTTACAGCCACTGTTGCTCTCACTGGACATCAGTAAGTAAAACTGGAAACTGTGTTTGCCCTTTTCCATGTTCACCCTGTGTTTACATGACTTTATTTTCACTATAGAAAGCAAAAAACAGTCTGATGAAGTTTGTTTTGTCCACTCATAACAAAATACACTGCACTTTAAAAAGGACTTTCTTTATGGTGAAAGTTGAACAAGTAAACAAACACAATTGACAAAGATTCAGTCAAAAAATTAATGCTTCTCTTACAGATCAACTAGTGACCTTTGAAACACTGAGCACGAAACGTTTCACCGTGGCACATAGACATAGTTCCATTCAACACCTTTCCAATGCTGTGTTTGCTTACACAGAGGCACAGTGTAGTATGTATGGAAAGGCTGGGTAGTGCTAGCCTTACCATTACACACAGTAGAGCTCTTTCTTTGCCTTTTAAGTGCTCGGCAGTGAAACAGGGCTCTATTCTAATCTGGTACCTGAGACTGGACGAAAATAAATGTGGGTGCAACTCTAAATGTAATGAGGTCAAATATAGATGCCAAATGTGGGTTAACTAGCTTTTCACTCCAAGTCAGCTTAACAGCTGTTTTATCTCTGATGTGAAAATAAACATGAGGGGGAGGGAGGCGGGCTTGGATTTCACCAATCAGGAGGCTGTATGGTGGCCTTTGACCATCTCGTGCCAATCACGTGACACACAATCATTCACTCAAGCGCCAAAGTCCACAGCTGGAGAGTGACAAGTATGGTGGCCGATACAGAAGGCACCAGTCGTGCAACGGAGATGTCTGAGGTAAAGTAGAGGCACACAAGACATGTGCAGCCCAGACAGAGGCTGAGCACACAGCAGGTCTTGCCTCATAAATTCCTGAAGGAAGAACAACAGGAGGAAGGAACAGAGATCATAAGATCATGTTCTTAGAAGAACACAGAGCCAGGACTTAAAGTGACAGTTCGACCAAAAAGCATGTTTACCCAATCCACCTCGAATGTGGTTGATCACCAAGGCATGTCTTTAGTTTGCACTTAGTTTATTTAGTTTTGCACTAAAAGCTAATGCGGTTAACAAGTTATGGCAGCTTATAGCCACCAGTTTGCAATCAAAGTTGACTTTACTGACCTTGCTATAAAATGTCACCCTTGCTCACATTTTTTTTCTATAAAAAGGACCAAAAGCACTGACAAAACTAAAGCCTCATAATGGCTGCTACTATTGGTGTTCAGCTATGCACTGTTTTTGTTCAATAACTACATTATACCGTGTGTGAAAACACAAAAGCATGTCTATTTAAGATTATTTACAATATGAAAGTATGTTTAAGATTCTATACAATTCAATACAGTTTATGGGCAGTGTGTGATGTTTTAGGCATGCAGTTGGCCTAATGATTTCTGGGAACTAAAAATACACGTCTTTAGTTTTTATTTAACTGAGTCATCATGCTTGTTGTAAAACAGGTTGAAATCAAGGAATTCCCAACAGAAAATCTAATTTTTTTTCTCAGCAGTATCTAGATACATACAGCCAAGCTTGCTCTCTTATTAGTCTGGCCTTCATGAGCTGGACAGAGGGCCTTATACTTTAGATTAACTACCAATATAATTAGAAAATGACAGTGGAATTAAACAAATACATTATTTTATTTTCTATCTTATTTTGTACAACCTTTTGCATTTAAAAGCCAAACTATGCTTTATACATTTTAATGACCCCTTTACTTTAAATACAGGCCATCAAGCAAATGCCATACAATGCTTACATGATTTTTACCAGAAATGTCACATATACTGTTTTTCGTTGCTCATTGATGGCTGGAAAAAGAAGGCCTACCTCTAATAGAAATTGTTTACCACTGAATGACACTAAAAGCAACTGTGTAAACTAAAGATTTAACAGTTAGAGATGTTAGAACCAAAATGGGAGAGAGACAGAATCATGAAAAAGGCCAAAACAGATTAATGACTAACTCCTTAACCCTCCCAGAAAACTCCCAGAAAACACCCAAAAAACTGCACCGTCCTGAAAATACATTAAAAGCACTGTAATTCATCTGCTTGGGGAACACTGGTAAACGGCCTCTCGATGACATCACCACCCACTACACCTCAAAACACACACAAACACAGAGATCCTGACAAACATGCATCACTCAGGACCCTGGCATTATAATGATAAGGATTAGCACGCATGTGTGTAACAGACCAGATGTTATATGCAGTGAAAACTGACCAAAAGTCTCCAGAGTACCACATTCAATGACTCAACACTGCTTGGCAAACCATAACAGGGAGGGGAAACAGCTTCAAAATGCTACTTCCTTTCATAGCTAATTTGTGCACAGAGTATACAACAGTTTTAGCCTGAAAGCAATTAAACAGCATAAAACTAGTACAAACACAGAGAACGCTACTGGCAGGGAAACAAACACACAAGTATCAAAGGTGCTCTATGGATTGGGGTTCAAAAGCTTAAGAAAAAGTGAATATCAAAAAAAAGCCTGCTATGGCTATGGACACAAAATCTCTCAATGCATTTTTAATGTAAGCCTTCAAAAAAAGACTAACAATTTATAGCCAACACAGGTGCTATAATTATTACTTGATTAGTCACATGAGTTTGTTTGAGAAAAAAAAAACCTCTCTATTAATGAAATCCTAGTGGGTGCCAATATCATGTTAGGGCTACAGAAATGAGCTAAAATGAACATTCATAATCTAGACCAGATTATAACATTTACTTCAGGAAAAGTGACATTAAAATGACTGCACTGAGAAACAGAGTGAACAATACCACGTTTCCTGCTCAGATACATATTGAGACTAAGTATCGACCTATACTGATATACTCTTTCTTTAAAAACACAAAGCTATAAAATGAACTGATTTTAACTGAAGCACTTTAGTTAAGACAAAGACATACCATTTTACTTACATATTATTATCTCATTCACTTTGTTTGAATTGTTACAGTTACTTCATGTTTAACTTTACTTAAACAATTAATTTACTTAACAATTGCATGTCAAAAATTAACTTTAAATTTGTAGACACTTGGAACTTGGAATAATGGTATACAGGTATACTAACAACCAACCAAATAAATACAAACAGACACATTCTAAATCAAAATTTGTGCACACCATGAACAATTTACAACCTTAAGGTTTTTATAACACCATGTTTCCAAGGAAGGACGCGCTATCTTTGAACTTGAGCACCAGGCTATGTCATGGGGTATTTTCACCTCAATACGGATGACTGTTTAAAAATAAAAGGGCCTATTGAATTACAGCAGTAATTCTGATGCATCAGAGTTGCCAGATTTATACAATTTAGGCTTTCTGGGCATTTAGTCTGTACACAGATGGATTACTTAAAGTTATAATGTGCATCAATGTTGACTCTCCACTTTAAATCCTTTTAGTACAGCATTTGTAATCCATTTGGTGAACGACTAGACTTAATTTGCCTCTACCAATTTGCTGCATATGTTCAAACTTTCAATTGATCAATTCATAACAGTCAATTGATAACAGTGAAAACACTGGATAACAACAGGCTGTAAGGGTCCACGATATATGTTTAAATTAGAAATACAGACCAAAATGCACTTACCATTCTCTTTCATCCTAAAATCCCTCCAGTTCAGCTACAGGTAGGTGCCTAGACTGGTTTGACCATAGTCCTGCACTAGTGCAATACCCTATGCGTTACATCCAAGATTAGACAAGTTACTCAGATGACAGTGAAACGATCCAGGCCCTATATCAGGAAACGACACATCCAGTCTGGACCCTTAAAAAGGCCCCCCAGGTAGAAAGGCCAAATAGACACATCAGACCAAAAAGAGAATAGAAACAAATAACCACTAAAGTCTGGTAATTGCGAATAAGGGTTACACAAAGCTTATAACCTGCAGAAAGTTCTTCAACTGTACA